TTTCTACCAAGAGTTGCACTCCACAAAGGTTCTTGTACGCACAATCGCCGAGCTGGAAGCCCCATTGTCGCTCGCGGAATTACCGCCCATATCGACATCCGAGGTGAACGAAGCGATCCGGCAGCTCAGGCGGAAGAAATGTGCAGACACCAAGGGCATTGTTGCCGAGATGTTTTAAGGGAAAGCGGGGACATATTGCTTGAAATGTTGACCAGTCGTTCAATAATTTCCTCAATTCTGCATAGCCGCCTGAACCCTGGAGGCGTTCAGTTATCAAAGTGCTCCACAAGTCTGGCGACGAAAGGCTTCCAAGGAGTTATCAGCCAATAACTATTATCCGAAGCTATTTGCAAGGCTATTGTATAATATATTGTTCGTGCTACTGGAGACGTAGCAGAGTGCCGATCAAGCTGGATTCAGGCAAGAGTTCTCGACAGAAGACCACCTTTTCACGATGGCGATTGTGCAAGGGAAAACAGATGAGCACCAATTACCTCTGTGGTATGCTGCGCTGGGCTTTCAGAAAGCATTTGATTATGTTGAGCACCAAGGGCTGTGGAATGCATTATTCAAGCAGGGCGTGCCAGTTGGTCACGTATTTGTGTTTAAACAGCTAGATCCGTCACGTATCATTGTTAAGTGCGCGCTGACGTACACAGTCGCTGGTTCGATACATCCAGAGGGGGCAAAGCAAGGCGTTTTACTGTTCTCTTTGATTTTCAACGCTCTACTGGAAGACATCATGAGAGAAGCAAAGGCGGCGTGGAAGAAAAAACGGTATGGCGTACAGCGTGGCCACACGCAAGAGTAGCAGATGACGCATTTACGTTTCGCGGACGACGTGTTTTTCGACCAGCAACACGTTATACCAAAGCGAAACAATGCTTGCTGATGTACAGGAACATGCAGGTGCCGTTTCCCTCAGTTGCATCCAGACAAGACAGAACTATTCACCAACGCAACGAAGAAAACTGGGAGAAACCGAACACGCACGCAGAAGTCAACGGAATGCACATCAAAATTTTGAGTTCGGATGAGAAGGTGAAATATTTGGGTAGAATACTTGGAGGTACTGCTGACCCAGACGCTGAGGTACGGCACCGGCTTCGTCAATCTTGGTAAGCATTCGTGGCAAACAAGTCAGAAGTGACATGCAAACGCTATTATTTGGCCTGCCGTCTCCGCCTATTCGAGAGCGTGGTGTCCCCGACGGCGATGCACGGAGTTTCCAGCTGGACACTTTCAGCAAAGTTATACCGCTCACTAAAAACAGCGCAGCGCAAGATGCTACGGATGATCTTGGAGGCTGGAAGACAAGGAGTTGAGAGTCGCACCAGAAGTGCGTCAGATCTCACCTTTTCGCCGGCGACGAGCCTGGACACGGATGCCAACATTGACGACGATAGTGTGGAAAGTTGGAACACTGGGTCATCAGAAACACAAATAATCGAGGCACGTGCCGTTCTGAATCGATTTGACGATTGGTGTTTGACCTGGGGACGACGGGCGTGGATATTTGCACACCGGGTTGCTTATGTTTTTTTCGGACACTGGACGCTCAGAGCTGCAATGTGGGACGCCAGCCAACACAAGCGAGCTAAAGGCAGGCCGCCCAAAATGCCGCGCAAGCGGTGGTCGGATGACATATGCCGGTATTTGCAGAGCCTGGGAAAAGATACAACGCCAGAGAATTGGTATCAATTATTTTCTGAGCATCAATGGCGCGATCTTAAAACCTGATTCGTGCACATGTCGTACTGGCGCTTCGCGCGTTGCGCGCCCATCCCCTTCGACGGGACAGCTTCGCTGAGGTGGCGTCCGTCCGTCCGTCCGTACCCAGAGGCTCCGCGGTGGCTTCGGGCGGCACCCCCAGAGACCCCCAAGAGGAGCAACGCCGCAGATCTTGAACCTCTTTCCCCGCAGGTCCTCGCTGGGCGGGACCCTCAAAAAGCGACTCGGGATGAACAGAAATTTCGGGGGAAGGGGTCGAGACCTTGGGGAGTCCCCGTCGTGAAAAGGAATGTATTCGATCTTAGGTCTTCGATCGTCGATCCTCGTCCCTCGATCGTCGCCCTTCGACCTTCGATCTTCGATCCCTCGCGGCAAGGCCGGCGTGGCGCAGGATCTGATCCACCTTGAGAGGCGGGCCGCCCGCCCCCGCGCCAACGCGCCCACGCCCGAAAGCCTCCGGAAGCGCTCGAATCAGTCTCCAGGATTCCAGGACTCAGGACGTCTCTTCGCAGGCTCGCGTCGTAAACAAACTCATGACGGAAGGTTTCTGGCCATCTTCGGCCTTTGGGGGCACTCGCTGGGCCTCGGGACCATCAGAAAACGATTCAGGATGGATAGCCGGCCCTGCGGAAAGGGTCGGGGTTTTTGGGGACCCCGTGCCAGAAACATCAAGACATCGTATGTTTGGGTCAGCAGGGGCGTCGTTAGGGGGGGAACAAGTTCATGAGGGAACGTGTCGACCCCGAATCGCCAACTGATCGCCGATGCGGGCCCTGTAGCCCAGCCCGCCCAGGAACGAGCGGATTTGCTATCACGGGCCTGTCGCCGATCTATCGTCGATGTATCGCCGATTCCAGGTCGATGCTTCCCCCCCTGAGCCGGTCCCCCCCTGACGTTGCCCCCTGGCTTTCGGGTCATAACTCGCTTCCTGGCGGCGGTTTGGAACGATCGGGGTACCCCCAGAACGTCCTCGGCGAGGCGCAGCCGCTGAAAGGCATTTCGGGGCTGGAGAACCGCCGAGAAGCAAGGAAACACTCCGAAAACCTGAGACCTCGAGCCCGAAAGCTGTCCCGAAAAACCGTTTCGTCCCTGGACCTCTGCCTGGACCTCCCCGTCACAGAAGCGCCCCAAAAAACCCCGGGACGGGGACGTCGCCGTCTTCGTTCCAGAGTCGTCGCCATGGCGGGGCGTGGCGCGCGAAACTGGCCAGGACGGGCCTCGGGAGCGCTCCGGCCGCTGGTTTGAGCAGAGTCTGGCAGGGGGCGGCGCGAGGGGGGTGGCCTTCTACGAGTCGGCCAGTGTTAAGTCGGGCCTGTCCCTCTACAGGGGGAATATTCAAAAATACAAAAAACAGTCTGGATACTTCATGTGTATATATATACATATATATATATATATATCATCATCATCAACAACACATATTCATACTATATATAGAGTATAACTATGTTTGAGTATTTTTTGTACATTTTCTGTGTCTGGAGACTTCATGTATATATACATACATAATATATATATATATATATATATTATATATATATATATAATATATATATCATCATCAACAACACATATTCATAATATATATATATATATATTATAACTATGTTTGAGTATTTTTGTACATTTTCTGTGTCTTTCTTTCTTTCGTCCAAGGTCCCCCTGTAGGTGGAGAGGCAAGACCTAAGGCCAGTCCCCTGAGGCAGTCCCGCCAGAGCCAGTCGCCCCGCTGGCTCAGGCGTGTTCCGCGTGAGAATCACATTAGGCACGAGTTGTTGTCTTCCCCGGCTGATAGCGTTTCATGCTGCTTCCTAGTGGTCGCTGATTGGTGCCAGTGGGCGCAAGCGGACACTAATTGGCGCCATCGGGCGCTGATAGGCGCTACTTGGCCCTAGCAGGGACATTGATAGACACTGATAGGCGCTGATCGGGCGGAACCTGTCGTAACATGACCCTCGCACACACATGATACACATGATGGCCCTCCTGACGTTCCCCCTCATGGTCCAAGAAATCCGCGCAGACCTTGAAACGTCCACTCTTGTGTGTGCCGTTTTGTCATCCTCTCCTCACGGGCCAGCCTGGCTCGAGCAGGGGGCCCGTGCCGCGGCTTCTCCTCACCGTCGCGATCTCTTCTCGCGGCGTCGGGCGTCAGGGTACACTTGCGGGCCTTGGACAGGATGGCCTTGGCTTGGGAGGTCGAGCCGTTGGTGATGAGGAGGCGGAGGTGTTGTGACACAGCGGTGGCAGAATGCGAGATGATGGCGCAGCAATGCAAGCATCACGCGCGTACAGGCGCGAGGTGACACAGCAGTGGCGTGCCCTGCAGACGAGATGCGGTGTTGATCCCAGATGAGGCTATGAGCCCAGTGGTCTTGTGACATGGCAGTGGTCAGCATCACAAGCGCACGGAAGTGCCAGCTGATGTCCGACAGAGAGACAAGGACGAGTACAGTGGGGACCCATGCCAAGAACCACCCTTCTTGCCTCCAGGGTGCCCTGGGTTTCTTGGGCTTCGATGGTTTTGCTGTGGAAAGCGCACGTCAAGCTTCTTGGGCTTCGATGGCTTCGTGCCCTCGCCAAGAATTAAGGCACGTCCTGGGGTCCCAGGGTTGAGTTCCTTGTGGGAGGTTTCTGTGGGCGGGCCCCGGCTGTATGGCCCCGGGAGCTCTCAGAGACATCTCGAGGAGTGGGATTAGAATATCGGCCCGCCGCCGCAGGGCCCATTTCGATCCGATCGATCCGATTCGATCTCGATTCAGGCCGCCCCAATACGATTCGATTCCTACATCACGACGATCTGATTCGCCTCGATGTTTGTATGTCGCTGTTTGTGCATCCTGGAGCGGCTGATATAGTTCGATTTCGACTACTCAGTCTGGCGCATCAGCCGGCGCATCTCTTGGGTGTTCAGCGGCATGAAGTGGGATGACTTCGTAGACGCCGATCCTTTCGCGAGTCCGCAGGTTCCCCCCGCGGCATCTGTCGACGTGGTCCGCGTCCCTGCCGGGTCCACGACCAAGGGCAAGGTCGTCAAGCTGGCGTTTGTGCTCGACCAGGGCGACGATGGCGAAGTCAAGGTCGCAGACAAGGACCAGTGCGACGGGTGGCTCAGCACCTACCACATGCAGATGCTGGCTGTGCCGCCAGAGGACTCGGAGCCGTCCGCCGAGCAGCTCACGGCGTGCGCTTCACCGGAGGGTGAGGGACCGTGGTTGCTCCCCCATACGCGGACTTCGCCGTGTGGCGGCCCTTCCCTCGGAGGGGCGCGCGGGCGGAAACATTCCGCGCGTGGTGACCCACGGGGGACGGCACGCACACGGCCAAGGAATTCCCAGGGCCGGAGAACCTCCAGCAGTGGGAGGCATGTTGGAGGGTGTTCTCGGCAGCGTGCCTCATGATCGTGGCCGTGACCCGCCCTGCGCTCGAGCTGTGCGCGGGGAAGATCCGCCAGCTCGTGCAGCTCTGGCCAGAGTTCTGGCACCTGATTGCCACGGCAGACGACTAGATGCGCGCCGAACATGTGCGCCGGATCAAACGTAAGTACGCGTCCGAGCTCCAGGCTGGCCAGACGCCGGCGCCGGACTGGGACAGCCGGAGGCCGTGGTCCACGGTCTACCGCTTCGCTGCCGCGGACGAGGCCTTCTGGGACTCCCGCGTGCGGCACCGCGCTGCTTCGTGGGTTTCTCGTGGCGGCCGCGGCGTGCTCCGCGCGACCGAGGAGGAGGCCGCGGTGACCCACATGCCGGGCGGCCTCGCGGCCGTGGCGCCGCCGACAGAGCAGCTGAGCAACCCGACCAAGCGTCGCAAGACCAAGTCGGAGAAGACGGTCGCCCGCATGGGGCAGGTCCAGCAGCAGCTGTCGGGAAATGGCGGCCCCCGCCGACGGCGCCCCGCGCCCCAGCGGGGGGGCCGAGAACGAACGACACGAGCCCCCAGAGTTGCAAAAAGTGGATCCAGAACAACCCCAAAAACGAGTGCGGCAAGCTGGGGCCCCTTCGGCCTGCCCGCAGGGCCCGGCGCACAAGTGCAGCAAGTGCGGGGGCCCTTCGCATAAGGCGCCTGACTGCTGGCGCCGCTGAGCGAGTCGCCCCGCGACCCCAGCGCTGCTGTTGAGGCCCCCCGCAGCGCCCTCGTCCGAGTGGGTCATTTTGGCAACGCCTTGGTCTGGCAGCAGCCCGGCCGCGCCGGCGCTCTGGCCACGCACCCAGCTGCGCTTCTGTTTCTCGCAGAGCTCGCGCACCCGACGCCGGCCGCCGCGGCCCCCGCCTCGCAGCGAGCCCGCCGCGAGCTCGAGAACGTGCTCTGCGTCGGCGGCCTGCGCTCCACTGCTGCCGCGGTCGCCCGGCTGCCGCGCCTCTGCGCGCTGGGCAAGGAAGCGGCTGCTCTCGACGATCGATGGATCTCAGAGCGGCCAGAAGCCTTCGCTGTTGTCCATCACTTCGGCGACAGGATGCACGCCGGTCCGGAGCGCGAGCTCGTCGAGGAGTGGTGCTCCCTGCTGCGAGGGCATCTCGGCGCCCGCCTGGAAGCGCTGGCGGAACCCGAGTTGGGGAAGCCGTCTCCGCTGCAGGCCGAGCTCCTGGACTCGCGGCTGCAAGTTGGCGGCGACCTGGCGACCTGCCTGCGCGACTGGTGCCGAACAGGCGCGCCGTTAGGCGTGCGGGTGCCCGTTCCCGCGCGCCGCATCTTCCCAGCAGTCCTGCCGCAGGCAGACAACGGGCGCCAGGACGGCGGATTGGACTTGGCCTTGGCGCAAGGCGTGTTCAACTATCAGTCGATGGCCGACGACCCAGAGGCTGCTGCCTCCCAGGTGCGCCGCTACTTGGCTAATGATTTCGCGGTTTCGATCGCGGAGTCCACGGCCTTGCAGAGGTCCCTGGGTGGATCGGTGTCCAAGATAGCGCTGCGGACCCTGGTCAAGCCAGACAAGACAGTCAAGCGGCGCATCATCGTCGATTTGAAACGGAGCCTGCTTGTTCCTGTCAACAGCCGTGCCCGGGTGCCAGAGCGGCTCGTGCTTCCGCGAGTCTGCGACGTCATCCAGGATGCGCGGGCTCTCGCTTGCGGCGCGGCGCACGCCGTGGACGGCGACGAGGGCTGCGACATGGAGTTTAGGATTGCAGATTTCTCCGACGCGTGCATGCATCTGCGGACGCGCCGGGATGAACTGCGCCACTGCCTGTCGCCCGACGTGGTGCCCAGGCGTCTGTTGCTGTAGATCACGCTGTGTTTCGGCTTATCTTGCGCCCCGCTCGTCTGGTGCCGCGTTGCCGCTGCGCTTGCGAGGCTCGTGTTGTCACGCGTCGACCGCAGCCGCGCCCGCGTGCAGCTGTGCCTTGGCGACCCCAGTTGGGCGCACTGGAGCACGCGCGCGCAGCGCGACCGACAGCTCGATTTCGCGCTGTGGATCCTCATCGGCCTCGGTGTCCGCATTGCGTGGCACAAGGCCGTCCGCGGGCCCGCAGTAGTGTGGATCGGCATTGCAATCGCTGCCAATGTCACGCCCCGCCAGATCACCATCGCCATCCCCGCCAGCACGACCGAGGAGCTGTTGGCGCTGCTCGGCGGTTTGGGCAACGGCGCCATGATTGGCCTCAAGGCGCTCGCGCAGCGCACCGGGGAACATTCTTGTGCCGAAGGGCTGCCGCCGCGCGTCCGTTGGGCCGTTGCCATCCCGTACGCCGTCGCGGCGTCGGCAGAGAGGGACTTCCGCTCGGGCGCGGGGGGCCGCAGGCGGCAGCGGAGGGGCGACCCGCGCCCGAAGTGCGGCATGGTCGCGGCCAATGGGGTGGCCTTGCCCGCGCGATGGTTCGCGGCCGTGTGGCAAGGCATGGAGGGGCCCTTGACCGGGCGAGTCGCGTGGGACTCCGTGGGGCCGCAGCCCGCCGGCTACAGTCATCATCGCCGATGCTTCCCCGCGGGGCCTCGGCTTGATATTGGCCCACGCGGCCGCCAGCAGGGTCGTGGAGTACGCTTTCGGCGAAGTGCTCGACGAGGGCGCGTCGCTGCCCCTCGCTGCCCCTCGCCCAGCCGGGGTTCTCCAGCGCCCAGCAGGCCCTGGAAACGCTGGCATTTTGGATGGCGCTCAAGCTGTGAGGCTGGTTTCTGCGTGCATCTTCCGCCGCGCTTGACGCGCGGGGGGACGACGCCGCCGCCCTGGCCGTCTGGCCTTGGCGCGGAAATTATCCAGCCCCTCGCCGGTCATGGATTTCGTCGGGGCCGAGTTGGCGCTGGAGCTGGGGTCCGTGGACACCCGCGACGCGAGTCTCACGCGCATCTCTGGCGATTGAAATCGCACGGTCGATAGGCTGTCGCGGAGGTCGGTCCCTGGCCGCCTGCCTGAGACGCCCGCGGCGCTGGCAGGCGCCAAGTGCCGGCCTTTGCCGCCGGGCGGCCGCTCCTACTACCGCCTACCCCCGCCGGGGGTCGAGCCGGACTTATGGGCAGCCCGGGCCGGCGCCGAAGCGTGGGCGTCCATAGCGGCGCGCCTGAGAGTCCAGAGTGCCGCCGTCATTGGAGGTGCTGCTCAATGCGGCCCAGATTCCATAAACACGCCGGACCGACGTCAGAGGGCTGAGGGAACAAATGCACTAACCTCTGCACGTCTGTCATCCTGCTCGGCCTGCACCGTCACAGCGTCAAACGGACAGCAGGATAACCAGCATAATGCGCCCTATAAACATCCTCTTCGTTGTTTTCCTCTTCGTCGCATGTCACGCCCACTTGTCCTCCAAGGTTGGGCTCGTGGCAGTATCAGATTTGTCCCCAAACAGTGCTTGCACTGACTTCGGGTTTCTTACTTGGTTTAACCATTCCGGGACCAGGGAAACATTCTTCAGCTTGCTCTTTGCGCTTCTCCCCGTCCCCCCCCTTCCTCCCTCCTCCCCTCCCTCTTCCCCTCCCTCCCTCCCTTCCCCCCCCTGCCTTTTTATTTGAGGGACTTTCGGTGGCATTCAGGCCATTCTGATCCCCAGCGTGATCGGAGTTTCGACGCCTGGCGCACACAAGCCCCCGACCAACCAGAAGGCGGCCGGCTTGTCACCGTCGTTTTTGCTTCAGCATGAAGGGGTGAGCCATCCAACCGTTCGCCCAGCACGACCTTCCCCAGCTGCCAAGCGGCCTCGCTTCGAGCATGGGCGTCTGGGCACGACGCCCACGCCATTCCTGGCACAGTGGCGTAGTTTGCGGGCGAGCGTGCCGGCCGCGGGTTTGTCCCTTGCGCCGCGGTGGCCCCGTGCTTCCTGCCCGGCGCTTCCGCGAGCAACTCCGCGCCGATATTTGTGCCGCTCCTGCAGCCGCATGCTGCCCTGGAGGTCGCGTGCCTCCCGCCCGGCGCTTCCGCTAGCAACTCGGGTTTCGTGCCGCTCCTGCAGCCGCGCGCGGCCCTGGCTCTCCCACTGCGGCGCGATGGCGTGGTGCAGGGCGCCCCTTCTCTGCTTCCGGGGCGCCCGCCTGGGAGCTCCGACGATCGTGCCTGTCCACGCGGCGGCGCTCCGCAGGCAGGAGTTCCCACGGCTGCCGCCGTCTGTGCCTGTGAGCGCATCCATCCACGAAGTCATGGCGATTGTGTCGGACCCGTCACGCCTGAGACTCGCCGTGGACGCTATCATATCGGATTTGTATGCCAGTTTCTCCCGCGAAACTGTAACTAAAAAGAGGGCGGTTGTTTGCAGACTGGCCGAACGAGCGGCCCTGTTCGTGCCAGGCTCAGCCTTCCCTTTTCCGTTGCATGTTCCGGTGCTGCACGTGGCTACGGCAGCTCTCAAGCTGGCCGGCTTCTGGTCCGCCGAGTAGTACATGAGACAATTGAGACTCGAGCACATCGAGCGCGGGGCGCCGGTCTCGGAGCAGCTGGCGCGGGCACTCGACCAGTGCAAGAGGTCCATGCGCCGTGGCGCTGGCCCCAAGACGAAAACCGTGGCGCGCTTCGCCCAATCCTTGTTTTGCAGGCGCTGAGGACCACCGAGGGTCATGACTTGGCATTGCCGTGGCCGTCCTGGGTGGTCGCCCGCCAGTTCCTGCTGCGGGAGATTGAGATGGCGTCGGCCCCGGTCGCGCACGTGGATTTCCCATCACCTCATTGCGTGCGCATGCGAGTTCCAGTTTCCAAAACAGACGCTTGGGGAGCAGGCGCAGCTGTCACTTTGAAGTGCACCTGTTCTCTTGGTTTTAGTGGGTTCGATCGGGATTCGTGGCCCGTGCGCATATTGAGGGTCCATGTGGATCTGCGCCGCCACCAGACCGGCACGCGCGCGGGAGACCCGGGCGAATTGGAGGAACCTTTGTTCCCGAATGTGGTGGGCCGCGCAGTGTCCAAAACCGTGGTCATCTGCGGTTGGCAACGCCTTGCGGTCGACGGACACCCGGCGCTCGGCGGCCCTTCCGCGAGACGGTCTGGCGCCAAGCGCTATGCCCGCTCTCTGTGGCCGTTGTCCACTATTCAGACGGTGGGCCGTTGGACGGCCAGCAAATATAATAGGAGTACGTCCTGGAGGCTCTTGCGGAGTTGCCGCTTGACGGGCAGGGCCCTGCATCTGGCCATCCCGCAGCGCCGCCGCCACAGGGGCAGCTCGAGCCGCTGGTGCAGCGCATCTCCAAGCTGGAGGCATCCTTCCGGTCGCTCGCACAAGGGCGCGGGCTGTCCGACGCGCGGCTTCAGAGGTCACTGTTGCGGTCACTGTTACAGCATTTCCCACAATGGCGCCGTTGGGTTGGTTCTGAATCGTCGGGGTTCACATCCGCATCGTGGCGAGTCCGCCAGACACGCCTGTGCCGACGTGGCGTACTCGCTGCGGATGGCGGTTCGGGGCGTCCGCGAACTTGTCGACGTTCCTCACTGATGCTTTTCGCCTGGCGAGGCTAATTTTTGTGGGAAGTGCCCATCGCCCGATGAATTCGTGGCATCCAGAGCCGCCGCTGCGCCTGTGGGGTGAGGGTGCGCCTCCTGAGACACGGGGTGGTCAGCCTGGCGGCCGCCCATGGCGTCGGCAGTCCGCTTGCTGGCGCCTTTCGGCCACGCCGCCCGGACTCGACGATTGAGGCCCCACGGGCCCAGGTCGTCTCGCCTCCTCGCCTGCACGAGGCTGATGATTCGGGCCCAAGGGCTTAGGTCACCTTCGCTTCCACGAGGCTGATGATTCGAGCCCCACGGGCTTGGGTCATCTCCACCTCCGCGAGGCCGATGATTCGGGCCCCCCAGGCCTAGGTCATCTCGGCCTCCATGAGGCTGATGATTCGGGACCCAAGGGCCTAGGTCATCTCCGCCTCCACGAGGCTGATGATTCGGGCCCCCTGGGCCTAGGTCATTGCCGCCTCCACGAAGCTGTTGTTTCGGGCCCCCCGGGCTCAGGTCTTCCTTGCCTCCACGAGGCTGGTGATGCGAGCCCCCCCTCGGGGCGTCAGTCACCCTCGGTTCCACGAGGCTGATTATTCGAGCCCCTCGGGCTCAGTTCATCTCCGCCTCCACGAGGCTGATGATCCAGTCCCACGGGCTAGGTCATTTCCGCCTCCACGGGGCTCACGATTCGGGCCCCCCTGGCCTGAGTCGTCCTGCGCGGCGTTATCTTAGCCAGCCGTTCTTACCTGACGACCGTGCAGGATTTGGCGCATTTGGTTAAAACGGAAAATGTGCCGCCTCCCTCGCTATGTTTGGGTGGCAGGGAGGGTAGCACTGGGCGAGTGCATTGTCGACTCTGTTCCGATACAGCCCGATCCGATGCACATATCGAGTCGATCTGATTGCCCGATACGATGCTGACTGATCCTGGCCTGAGGGCGGCAGCGTGGTCATGATCTCCCACCGCTTCCCAGGGATCCAGGGCAGGACTGGCAGTGGCTGTTTCCTGGCGGCCCCTCTAGTTGAGCATCGCGTGTCTTGTGTTGCGTGGACTCCTGGGGATCTCGACCCCCTAGGGGCCGGCTTTTCAATCCGAGCCTCTTTTTGACGGTCCCGGGGCCGGGGACCCGGGACCCGGCCTCGAGATGCCCTAGGCGTCGAAACACAAGCCGCCGTGTTTTTTTTTTTTGGTGACGCCCGGTCCTGAGGGGTGGAGGAGGAGGAGGAGGAGGAGGAGGAGGAGGAGGAGGAGGAGGAGGAGGAGGAGGAGGAGGAGGAGGAGGAGGAGGAGGAGGAGGAGGGCGGCGGCCGCGTCGGCGGCGATTATGGCGGCGGCGGCGAGGTCGGAACCCTCCAGGGCCCGCGCGGACGGGCGGGCGGGGGCGCCCCTCGCCCTCCCCAGGAAGTGCTCGGTGAAGGGGTACGTCGGGAAGGTTGGCGAGCCCCCAGTCAAGTTCATGGAGGCGCCCGCCGAAGGGCCCTGCCTGCTCGGGCGGGGCGGGACGGGGGAGGACAAGGTGGGTGAGAGGAGCGGAACAAAACACCGGAGTGCTTGCGCGACTCTGGTGAGGAGGCCTTGTGCTGGGCACATGGTGCGTCTTGTGCGGGGCTCTTGTGCATGCCCTTGGGATTGGATCCGCGTGCGCGTGCTTGCGCAGGAGGGGGAGGAGGAGGATGCGCAGAGTAAGCACGATGGATACAGACCCCTCGCGCAAGACCCCTTGTGCGCCTTGTGCGCTGGCACTCGTCGTTCTGGCTGTTTATGGGTGCACGCGCCGCGTCGTCGGGGAGCGCCGAGTTCCTCTTCGTCTGAGCTCCAGCGCGGCAGGGCGTGCCTGCAGCATGTTCCCCGGGCGGAGTGTCGGGCCACCGAGCTTGGCCAGTGGCGCGAACCGCCAGCGAGCGTGTGTGCCTGTCGATGGGGCGGCCTCTCGTGTCCCCGTCCTCGGTATCGTGTGGCGCACCCTGGTGTGGGTCGAGCCCGCCTGTGAATGCCGTGCCGATGCCGTCGTTATCTTGCTGTTGCTGGGTCTGGCGGGCACTTGGCACAACTCGAAGAACACACAGTTGCATACAGTCGGGTCGCTGAAGAACGAACCCTTTTCGTTGGGGAGCTGCTCCGTGTTCCTTAATTGTTTCACAGCTTGCCTCAGATTTTCCTTATGTTTTCGATGGGAAATCGAAGTTTAACTTATGGGAAAAAAGGGGCCTCGTTTCTTATTTGGGGTTCCTAAGGTCAACGCCCCGACTGTAAACATACATTCTCGGAGGTCCGCGCGGATTTCTTGGGTCGGCGTTGGGCCCCCCTGGCGGCGCCTTCGGCGCTGCCCCTGTCGCTCTCCGTGCGCCAGGGAGGGGGTGTCCGGCGCCGATCCAAGAAGTCCACGCGGACCTCCGAGGAATTACAGTCGGCCCAGGTTAGTAGGTCGACCCTGCCAAATCAAGGGTACCCTTGTGTCCTGTGTCTCGCGACCCATGCTTCCTACAGTCCTGTGGCAATGTGGCCCTCGAAAGGGTCTTGTGTCCTCTCGCGTGTCCTGTCCAATCGAGTCCGACTGTATGCTGATGCCGTTCTTAGTTGTTTCAACATCTGCTTAATGAGGCGTGAGCCGGAATCCACCCAGGAGTGGGCGGCTCGATGGTAGCCGCATGCCCGAGATAATGAAGCTTCCCTTCCTTAACCCCTGAGTCGTGATTATCCATGGGGTTCTAATGCTTGTCAGGGTCGTTCAAATGGCGCTCGCGCCCCAGCGCGGACCACACCTCTGGGTCGGATTCCTCCCTTGTCGTTGCTGTCCCCTTTCCCCTCCTCCGCCTTCCCCTTATCCTTCTTCTGCTTCTGGTTCTCCTGCTCCTGCTTCTGCTACTCATGCTACTGTTGGTCTTGATCCTCCCTCTCCCTCCTCCTCCTCCTCCTTCCTTTTCCCCTTCCTCCTCCTTTTCCTCCTTATCCTCCTGCATATGCATGACCATTTCTTCTAGTGTACACAAAACCCCTTTCTGCATGCACATCACAAATAACCCAGCGCAATGGGAATGGATGGATGGATGGGTAGGATGCCAGCTACGGCGCGAGTGCGCCTAGCTTGTCTCGTCCCCATCTCCAATCCCCAATTCTTCCCTCCTCCTCCAGCCCCCCGCTCCATTTTCTCCCCGTGTCTCCCTCTCCGCCCCTTAACGCAGCGGCTTTCGCTTGTCCTGCACCAGCCAAAGCGCGTGCGAGCTGAAGTGGATCCAGGTCAGCGGAATCCCCCCGTTCCGATGGCAGACCGTGTAGCAGGCGGTTTCACCGTCTGGCGCCCCGAGGGAGCTGGTGGGTACATACAGCTGGAACGAGGGTCAAGAGCAGCCCCAGCTTTGGAGGGGTGACCTCACGTTCTTCTTCGTGTTAGGGCTCTCCGTCTTGGAGTTGCCTTCGTTTGGGGTCTCTCCATGGGTTCCCGGGCACTGGGTGATGGGGCTCGTCTTCCTGATGCGCGTGCTTGTGGCAATGTTTCGACTGCAAGGGTGCGCAATTTCCCTTCGCACCCCCGATCGGGGTGCGCAGCGTGCGATGGAAGTTTTTGGGGCACGCTCGCGGAGCCCTCTGGGAGCATTGTGGCGCACCTTTGTTTGCCCCCGAGGCCTTCTTGCAGCTGCCCCCTTGACGTACGCGACCCGCAGGAGGCCCTCACCGGGTGCAACCTGGTGCTCATCCCCGCAGGCGCCTCCTTTCGGGAGTGCGCGAAGGTGAACCAGAGAGGAGCACGCCAGGGGGCCTACGGCAGGTTTGCGCCGCGTCGACGATGCGGGGACCCTAGGCGTTCAAGCTTGAACGGCGGCAGTGGCTCGGAGTCGGCCAACATTGAACGCTCTGCGCTACTGCTATTGGAAAGTCGCGACCGTCCTAAGGTTGAGCGATCCGCGCCGTACCAGAAACCAACGCGCCAGTCGTCACGACAAGTTCCTGCCGTACGCATTGATACCATCACGAAGGCCAGGGCAGGCAGCCACCGATCTCGGTGGGCAGTTGAAGTTCACGGGTGAGAGGCCGAATTGTGATTACCACGTATAAGATAATGGGTTGAACTTCTTCGACCCTCTCATCTTGATGGTGGCGGCAGTGTGTAGGGCTCCCAGGATTAGCAGATGGGGGCGGTGTGTGTGTGTGTTTGTCTGTGTGGGATAAGTGGATGAGCAGGGCGAGGTAACGCATTAACAATGGCTTCCACCATGCAGCACGTGTTTCGATACTCGCTCCAGATGTGGGATTGGGAACCAGGTTTTGTGCAACCACCATGCCAGTTGGCTACTGTTCGAGCAAAATATGCGTGTGAGTGGTCATGTCTACTCGATGGAAGTCAACTCGTGGACACAGTTTCGTTTGCTCAGCACTGACAACACTCTCAGGTGTTCAAACAGCTCGGTGAGAGCAATGATATTGAACACCTTGGGGATGATTCGCAGTCCAGCATGGGCAAACGTGCACAGATCGTGGTAGCCAGCGAGTGCCCCCGAGCCTTAATGGGGACAGTCAGGCCAGTTCGTATTGAAGGAGTCGGAAAGACGTGTCGCGTGGATTTTGGTTCCGCACGGAACTACCGCCGTTTCGTCGGTATGACTTTCGTCCATTGGCATGTTGTTCTGGTAAGGTTAAGGGTCGGGACTGCACAACGGTACCTACACTGATGATTTGTTTTGAATCAGGGCCTTCGGTTCGATGCAACGACGGTCACACTCCACGAAGGCCTGACATCCCGTTGGCCTAATCGACGCCGCAGTGGCGAGGGATAGTGAAAGATGGGGGGAAATAGAGAGCGAGAGATAGCGAGGTCGATCCCTTCCCCCCCCCCCGCCTTCCTCCTCCCTCCGCCTCCGTCTGGAAGGAGGAACATGGGAAGGAACATGATGATGCGAAGAGACATGCATGTCCGCGATTGTGCCGTCCTTCACGGTGGAAGCGATCGCCCTTTTTGCGACCTTTTTGTGCTGTCCGAAGGGCTGCGTCCCACGCGACAGCGTCAGTTTCAAAAGAGGAAGTGAAGAGTGAAGTTCCTCACCCAACAACTCAGTCGAGCCAGAACTGCCAGCCTTGGAGGACTTCAAGCAGTGTCATGAAACTGGAAGCGGACGATGATGATGCTGTTGAGGATGAGGCTGTTGCTGCTGTTGTTGATGATGATGATGGTGCTAATGGTGATGCTAATGCTGATGCTAATGGTGATACTGGTGATGATGATGATGATGATGATGATGATGATGATGATGATGATGATGGTAATGGTGATGATGGTGATGATGATGATGCTGATGCTGATGCTGATGATGACGATGACGATGGCGATGATGATGCTGCTGATGATGATGATGATGATGAAGATCATGACGATGCTGCTACTGATGCTGATACTGATGATGATGCTGATGATTCTGATACTGATGCTGATGATGATGCTGATGCTGGTGGTAGGGATGATGGTGGTGATGGTGGCGATGTTGATGACGATGATGGTGATGCTGATGCTGGTGGTAGTGACGATGATGATGCTGCTGCTGATGCTGGTGATGATGGTGGTGGTGGTGGCGATGCTGATGATGACGATGATGAGGATGCTGCTGGTGGCGATGTTGACGATGCCAAAGACGATGACGTTGACGACGACGTCGACGATGATGTCGCTGATGATGCTGATGATGATGCTGATGATGATGTAGTTGGTGATGCTGATGATCATGACGATGGCGATGACGATGACGACGAAGCCGGCGACGATGTCGACGGCAGCGAAGACGACGGATTTGGTGATGCTGGTGATGAGACTGATGATACTGATGCTGATGATGATGACGATCATGATGATGGTGGTGATGATGTGGTTGAGGCTGCTGATGCGTCTGATGATGATGATGCTGTCGATCACGTTGATGCTGATGCTGATGATGCTGATTATGCTGATGCTGATGATGATGATGATGGCAACGCTGATGATGATCATGATGCTGATGATGATGCTACTGATGATGCTGATGATCAGGATGATAATAATGCGGCTGCTGCTCCTGATGATGACGATGATGACGGTGGTGGTGGTTCTGGCGATGATGATGCTGATGATGATGATGACGATGACGATGACGATGACGTTGATGATGATGATGATGATGATGATGATGATGATGATGATGATGATGATGATGATGATGATGGTGATGATGATGATGATGATGATGATGGTGATGGTGATGGTGATGGTGATGGTGATGGTGATGGTGATGGTGATGGTGATGCTGCTGCTGCTGCTGCTGCTGCTGCTGATGATGATGATGATGATGATGATGATGATGATGATGATGATGATGATGATGGAAAGAGCGTGTTCTACCGCTGCTGGCGGAAAACCGGGGGGGTCACTACCTGTTCGAACCCCTCCCCCCCCCCTTCGGAAAACCGGGGGGGGTCACTACCAGTTCGAACCCCTCCCCCCCCCAGTCCATCATGAAAAGGGGGGGGGGGTTCTACCGGTTCGAACCCCTCCCCCCCCTCGAAAACCGGGGGGGGGTTGCGGACAGTGGTGGGGACGTTGGTGGTGGGGACAGTGGTGAGGGGACAGCGGGACAGTGGTGGGGACAGTGGGACAGTGGTGGGGACGGTAGTGGTGGGGACAGATGTGAGGACAATGGTGGGAACAGTGGGGACAGTGGGACAGTGGTGGGGACGGTGGTGGGGACAGTGGGAATGTGGTGGAAACAGTAGGACAGTGGAGGGTACAGTGGTGGTGGGGACAGTGGTGAAGGCGGTGGCGAGGACGGCGGTGGGACAATAGGACAGAGGTACAGTGGGGACAGTGGTGGGGACAGTGGGGACAGTGGTGGGAACAGTGGGACAGCTCAGTGGGACAGCGGAGGAGTCAGTGCGACAGTGGGGACAGTGGGGATAGTCGGGCAGTGGTT